ATACCCTTTAGAAGCTCTTAGTCGCGCGGATGGAACCGTCCCGTAAGATACTTCGTCGCGGATGATGGATTGATGGAAAGCATGAAATTGTTTGGAGGCACACAAAGAAAAAGAAATCCAATTGATGACATAGGATCAATTTCTCACTTTAGGAGAGACGGGCAGGCGTGACAACTATGTCTAGCATGCGATAAGTTATGCTTTCGCGTGTGTGCATGTTTACCGATCACAAACGTCCAATGTGCATTTAGTCTTATTATGTACAAATATACGGATAAACTACCCACGATCGGCCCGGTCCAGTCATTGTTGGTGAGGGCTATCTACGTACATATTTAAGTGCGAAACAACCGTGAACCGTGTTTGGGAAATTGTAAACAAATGGTAGCAAATTTTCATCAAATTTGATCGACGTGTGAAAGTTTGTTGCGTGCTTCGCCAGTAGACTGCTGTTGCGGGTTCACCGGGTAGTAATGAGGTGAAGATTGGTTGAATTTTGCATGTTTTAATTGGGTGTGAAACATGAAAAATGGCAGAGCTCACATGATTGCTTTATTTGATATGATCAATATTTTGGAATTTCATAAGCAGCTGTTCAATTTAAAACGATTACCCTTTACCGTTTGACGTATGAAATTCCATTTAATTTTATTGTAAGTAGAATTTCAGACAAGCTTTTTGAGCACATTCATCGTGGGCCAGAAAGCCAATCGTTTAAAAGAACCCAAGAGTTCCAAAGGCAACCTCTGATGATTTTTGATATGTGTTCTTCACGCAAAATTTGAATTATTATTGTTGGCAGGAAAATTTTGAAAAAAATAAAGCTTTTTTTCGAATTGGATTTTTATGTTTTTACTGGGTGTTACCAAGGCTATGCAATATTGACTTCCCTAGCAAAGCATCTACGTCGTGACAGAGTTTGGAGCTGACTACCGTTCTACACCGAATGCCAGATCTGGACGTTTTTTTATTCAACATAATATGCACATTGCTTTCTTTGAACGGTGGTATTTGTACTTCTAACGAACCATAATTTAATGCAACAAAAATAGTACAAGACACTGAAGAAGTCTGCACATTGTAGACGAAATACGCGTATATGTCAAGGATAAGCAATTACGGTAGTGGAAATTACTAATCCTTCTCTCTTTCTTTATACAGGTATTCCACTACCCAAGTAACAATTTGGGTTTTATGAGGGTTCTGTAGACCGTGTTTTAGATTTGTAGAACGTTTTAAAACCTCGATAAAACTTGCAATGTTACTTGGGTACCCCAGTAGGAACGAATATCTCGATACCTTAAATTGGTATGGATTAGTCTGACATAAGTGGTAAAATACCAAAAAATAATATCAAAATAAACGTCCCCACAATACCATGTCAATACCAAATTATGCATAAGAAATACCAAAATGAAACCACACAGGTATTTTTTTGGTATCCAAATATCAACTTTTGTTATTTACAAAGTATTTTGCATGCAATTTTTTGGTTTTATTCTTTGGTATTTTACCTCTTATGTCATGCTGATCAATACCAAATGTTTGTATCAGGTCAGAACTAAGTATTCATTAGTTATTTTCTACTGCTCGGGTGTAGACGCCCACCTTTATCAGGAACAAAATATTTCTAGGTGCTGCACAAAAAATGAAAAAAATGTAACTGTGCAAAAATGGCGTTTGATGAACATGTACATCATCATAAAATTCACGTAGGCATAGTAGGCATTAATAATTAACTATCAAAAGTGTTCGGATTACAACAAAATTATTGCATTATTGCCAAATATAACTCTAGCTACATCCAAGTTTTTTTTTTTTTTTTTTTTTTTTTTTAAATTCTTTATTAAAGAGATTTTTAGCCTTAGGCTAGTTCATCTCTAACATCCAAAAGTTGATTTCATCAAAAATGTTTGAGTACAACCCTTTTCACTTAAAGAAGAAATAATGTTTCATTGCCTTTTTTTTCCGGAGGAACCTTGTACGAGAACCTTACATGCCAATGCTAGCAGGGATGGCATCGGTCTTTCAAGCATCGTTCTTTCTTTGTATTATAGAAAGCTAGCGTTTAGTCCAATTGTCTTTTTTGTTAATCTATCTTAAAATAGACAAATTAAGCTAGTATTCTCCCAATAAATCTTCAAGATTTAGCACAAATTGTCCGAAACTTTTTGTGCTACGATTTTTGTAAACTTTTAAGTGTCAAAGTTTTCAATGTTACAAAAATTTGCATTTTTCGTAAGATTTTTGTTTTAAATAGGGGAAATGCAGAAAATGTCGGCCTAAGTGTCCCTAATTTGGGCCCATACATAAATTCAGCAATCGACTAAGTTTTCAATAGCAACCAAAAATATCCATTAGTAACGTCCCAATAACGCGTTCATCTAGATAAAATTGAAAAATAGCAGATTTTTAGCGATGGGCCCACAAATCGGAAAATATTGAGCCTATTTTTTGCTATTTGGCATGGAACTGCTCGTGTTTAATTTCCAAGGAATTAAAAATATCTCAAAATGACAAAATGACTTGCGATCATCGAGTCGAACGATAACGCTATGTCAGAAATGCAAAGCAATGGTGATATAATCTTCTTTCCTTTTTATCATGAAAAATTGCCCTTGAACGTCATGAAGGATTTCAGGACTTTTGGACGTAGATGTGGCCACAAACTTGGTGTTTTTCGCAGTACAGTTCGGAATATACGCATTCGGGAGGTTTTCTTCAAGTAGCAGGCTATTAAGTAACCGAATTGGACCGTAAAACAAAACATTACGGCCAAAACGTGGGCCCGAAAGCTGTTTGATCAGGTGCTGACCAAATTCAACGGATGGACGATGAAACGCATCTCAAATTAGTCTTCAAACAGCTTCCGGGACAGAAGTTTAATTTTGACAGCGGTCGCGGAGATGTTTCTAAGACATATAAATTTGTTCATTAGGTTCCACCAGGGCCCCGTCAAGTTTTGGCCAGATTTGGCGAGTTGCCACTACAGTAAGGATGCGCAACAGTGGTATCGCGATAATGAAGTAGACGTTATTGAGAAAGGGATGAACCCCCCAGTGTGCCCGGATTTCCGCCTAATCGAAATGTATTGGAGTATCATCAAAGCTAAACTGATGGAAAAATGGCTCAGGATGCTATTTCAATGGCCAGATACTGGAAAAAGCAGCCGGTGAGATTGACCAGCAGCTTGTGCAGAAGTAAATGGCACGTATTAAGCCCAAAGTTCGAATTTTCATTCGAGAGGAATAAAAACCGCAAAACCCATATTGTATATTTAAACTAAAATAAATACATAACATTTTCTTCTAATAACGTTTTATTCTAAACCAAACCAAACAGTACCGATTCTAAATTGTCAGGGGTTTAGTAGCAAACGTTTTGTCTTTATCGCTGCTAATTTGAATTGACATCTGATTTATACGAACTTTGATTTTTTGAATAAACTAATGGAAATCATCCCAAAATATTATTTCTATAATTAATTGCCTTTTGCAGGGATTCAACTGAAAAATAAATAAATTTAATATCTGTAACCATGAAAGAAAGTTTATCAAACAAAATCTTCATCAAATAACTATTGAGCACTACTGTAGAAAACCCAACTAAGATTTTTGGTTTTATCAATGAGCAATATTTTTACTAACGAATTGATTATTTCTTTAATAAACGTATAAATATGAATATAATAAGAATATCATAAACCTTGAATGAAGAATCATTAAAACATGATTATATGTTTTGTCACAACCAAAAGATTCACGTACCCTTATTCTTACGATCGCAGAATGTTATTGTTACACACTTAAAAATAACTATTTTTACACGAGACATAATCCACCATTGACGTAAATTATGGAACGTAAACAAACATGTCATGTAAAATTAAGTGTTCCTAAACCGAAACATACGCAACTCGACGAAAAGTACGATTAATTGAATTTATTTTCTCGTTTCTTTCAACTGATTCTTGTGTCATTTGGGCCTCTTGCATGTGTCGGTCTCAGGGCACCGAAATTTACATGACTTTTTGGTAGTGTGTAGTTATCAAATTCTGAGTAAGAAAAACCTATGATCACAGAGCTTATGACACTGTGAGAGAAGTTTAGTTATCAAAGGAAAGGGAATTCTTGAATGAGAAATGTCGTTCGTGCAATAATGTTGTTTTAAGATTGCTTAGTTTTATCTGTTCGTATATCTATGAAACTTTAACTAAATTAAAACATAATCCAGAGTAAAATAGCAAAATAATCCAATCAACACGTAACGATTCGATTAAACGGCATAAATGAACCTTTATTGAATCGCTTTACATTTTTTATTAATGGAAACGTTGCGTACAACAACTCATTAAAACAAACGATCACTAATTCCACACAGAAGCAAACAATGATCCGTCTAAATCAGTCCTCCTCTCTGAAGCAATTTTGAATTAACAACTCGATCCTCATATACGTTTGGCCTAATAATAAAACGGTTTGCGTGTAACACTTTCCTGGCGTTGAGTTTTGAAGTAGATAGCATGATTTGATTTCATAACTCAATCATCATTAGCTGCCAGCCAGTACTACAAAGCACAGATGAAAGTATTGACTATCTTTTTACTTTCATTTAACCATAGAAGGTACCAAAGAAAATAATAACGCTGCATCGTTTCACCCCCATTTTGCACGACGTTGCGCCCGTCTGCTTATTGCTCTCCTACGTTATTAATTTAAACATTTCAATTATCCATCCTATGTGTGCGCGCTTATCCTCCTGCCGTACTTACGAGTCTTCTGCACGCTCGTTTCACAAGTCGAAGAAAAAAACTATTGGATAACTTTGATTAACATTTTTAGCGATCCGCTTTCATGTTCACTTTTTGGAAACTTTAGGACTACACATTCAACTGAACATGGTTTTTCTATACTTGACTGAAGCAAGTTCAAAAAATATCTTCCGCCGCCGCCGCCGCCACTTCAATTGAAGAAAAGAAATAAAATGAAACAAAAACTTACCGAAATCTTGCGCCGGCGACTCTTCACCGGAAGCTTCCGGTACACGCATCAGCATTAATAGCAAAAGCGCCGAGCTAATTACCACCAGAAGGTGCATTCTTGCCGATGCCCACCGGTTTAGAATCCAGCTGCTGGAGAACATATTGCCGTTGTTTTCAATATATGCTTTTCACACTTCTCACTCCGGCGACTGCTTATGGCCGATGTAAAGATCAATATGAAAACGAAAATTTTTCTCCTTTAAACACGAATACCAACCGAAATGAACAAATTAATTCAATTTCAGACTTGATTCTTCCTTCCAGCGCAAGCTTTTTGAACTAGTTCAGCATGATCATTATCATAATTTTCCTCGCTCATAGGAAGCGGATATTAAATCAGAACGCGATATGCTCATAACTCACTACAACGGCAGCTAATTATTTAATCTAAGCCTTTTCCGTTCGCTCCGCATCCAGCTGCAGGTATTCCGCTATCTTCCCGGTAGACAGAGACTTCAACAGGCGAGAGGTCACTAAGCGACGAACCTCACTAATTAATCTTTCACTGCGTGACACCAAAGTCCCTTAATTTGTCCTCGTACACCTCAGCAGTGTACCAGCACAGTAGCCATTCTGGTTAATCCCGCTATTCTACAGCACACTCACTACTCCCACAGCATCATGATCAATGACCAGCAGACAGAGTGTCTTGTTCTTCTTACTCGCACTGGGGTCCCTCAAGGGATAAACCGAACACGTACAACCAAACAACAACAAGAGGTCCCGTCAATCCGGAGGGTCGTTCAAAGAGAAGACACACGGAAAGCAAATTATTCTATCACGTTGCTTGCTTGCTTCTGCACGAGTCGGCAACCATACTGGAACTGAACTCTAGACGTTCAAACTGTGAACACGTTCAGCAAGTAGATACCTCTCTTCGCACGCTCTCGCTCTAGAGGGGTTCGTTGTGGAGGATCATACCGCATCGCAGTGGCGCATAAGCGATCATATTGCAGCTCGTGCAAAGTCGAACCAAGAGAAGAGAGGGTTAGGAAAACTCTGAAAATAAGGAAAAGCACAAAGAACCACATTCAGATGGATGACTGCGGGCTGGAAGTCACGGATGGGGCGGAGATGAGAATAACAAATCAGCTGCGATGTATGGAACGCTTTATTGGTCAACGCCTGGTCGTATGGGATCCACTGATAGAAACCCGTGAACGAACGGTTCCTTTAATCGATAGGGGGGTCTTATGTGGCAGTTAGGAAGTTATTGTTGATGAATAATTTACTGCAAAGCAATACAGTAAAACATGGTTCTTTTAATTGACAAAATTACGCTCCTATCCTTAAATCTGATTTATTGAGTATTGAACTACACCTATTATTATTATTATTATTATTATTATTATCTCTATTTAGGAGATTTAAAAACTACACCTATACTTATTGGATTGTACCTTTAAAACTAGTAGTCCATAATGTTTCAGTTTTAAATAATTTATTTAATTAGATTACAAAAAATATTTAGTTGATGTCTTATTATTTTCTGTGATGTAATGCATGTAATGTAATTTAAAAATAGTGATTCGACGATTTAATTAACTGTAATTTATTATCTACCGAATGAATATTTAACCCCATAAAATATGTAAACAAAACGTCCGATTACAGTAAGTTTTATTTCATTTTCATTTTCATTTTCAAGCACAGAAGGGGGTCATAGGGCCAAGTCACCAGCGAAAAATCGCTGTCCATACTACACCAGGGTAGAGGTATAGATTTGGCATCACAGAATAATAACCACAGGGGTCAAATGAATCCTGTTTACGATACCGGATAGTAAGGAAAGCTGTTGAACATAGGGGATAGTCAGAGTAACAGCAATAATAGTGAAAGTTAGGAAAATAAGCAGGTAGAGATGGTTGATTTGCAATGGCTATCGACTCTGTTATATGGCCTACCGTATCAGATTCAAATTTAATGTCGTTTAATATTGCGCTTATTACTTTTATCTTTATTCTAAGCAATCTCCTTTCATACTTGTTTGTTTTAAAGTGAACTGGATGAAATTATGTTAAAGTTAACTATGCTTTCAATTGTCAACAGTTTAGTTTCAACTGAATTAGTTGGCGACTCAATTTGATGTTATTTTCCATTTTTAATTAGTTGGAAGTATATTTACTTACGTAATCGATTCGTTGAGTGATTGATGATTTACTTACATTTTATACGAATTATGTAGTTTTACGTAAAACCCTGCACTTGTGAATGTAATCTGAAATTTAACGTGTTTCAAGTTGTTTTTTAATTTGATCTATACACTGGAGTCGCTTTTTACGCGGTTTTTTTTTACACGGTTTTTTTTACGCGGTTTTTTTTACGCGGTTTTTTTACGCGGATTTCGGAATTTACGCGGTTTTTTTTACGCGGATTCCGGAATTTACGCGGTTTTTTTTACGCGGATTTTGGTTTTTTTTTTACGCGAATATCAGAATTTACGCGGTTTATCATTATACACTAGAGTCGCTTTTTACGCGGTTTTTTTACACGGTCTTTTTTTATGCGGTTTTTTTTACGCGGATTTCGGAATTTACGCGGTTTTTTACGCGGATTCCGGAATTTACGCGGTTTTTTTTACGCGGATTTTGGTTTTTTTTTACGCGGATATCAGAATTTACGCGGTTTATCATTATACACTAGAGTCGCTTTTTACGCGGTTTTTTTACACGGTCTTTTTTTACGCGGTTTTTTTACGCGGATTTCGGAATTTACGCGGTTTTTTTTACGCGGATTCCGAAATTTACGCGGTTTTTTTTTTTTTTTTTTCTTTTAACGCGGGACGTATCACCCGCGTAAAAAGCGACTCCAGTGTATTTAATATATATTAGTTCGTCCCAGGTGACACCTTCAAGTGACTAAAATGCTTCATTTTGAAGTTAGTTTCCTAGCTGATTTTAAATTATATAGGGTATATGCTCCAACTACGCTCACACGTTTCCACTATGTCGTCCCACAAAATTACGTATGGTTATGTCACAATAGAAGCGCACCACAGTGGAAATTTCGAGCCATATTTCAAACATTTCTCCCAAATCAAAATGAAGCACATATAAGATTAGTTGCAATACCATGTACAAAAATGGTGTTTAACATTGTTCCCTGAGTAATACCTCAATGAAAACAACAACGAAAGCCTTTCACGCAAGTAGAAAGAGCACTGATGGGCACCTTCTGAAATACTTCAATAGTATAATTCCGCTGCAAACCCAAACAATCCATCTGCGTAAAAAAATAAGAGTGATTTGCGGCAAAACCCGCCAGTATCGCACCCAACGTCAGTGCCTATACGTAAGCGTACCACAACGCGGCTTTCAAACAAAGGAGTAACAAGTGTGATACTATCACTTCAGGCTAGAACTTTGGTTCTCTTATGCAATGGTTCATCAGAGAGGGGAAGCTCAGTAATCCTCATCGCATGCTCATGACGCTATTCTGTCACGGGATGAGCCAACGATGCCGGACCTAAGCCAACCGTCTCCAACGCTCCACTATGAAGCATAAGATTAGGCCCGCCCACCAACGTCCAGGTTAAAAAAACTAGCCAAGGGGAGGGTCCGATTACAGTAAGTTTTATGATAAATAAAACCTTAGCGCTGTACGAATATACGAATAAAACAAACTACTAAAAATGTAAGCCCCAGTGCAGTTCAACACAATATCTAAGGGTGGGAATTATTTTATTAATAGAAATATTTCAAATGCTACACACTTAGAAAAATTAATGTAAATTTAGGTGCTCTGAGACTGACATATACGACCGTCAATTTTGACATAAAACTGAGTCATATTAGACGCGAAATTCAGCTCAATCAAACGTACTTTTCTTCAAGTACCGAACATTTTTTTTTACGTCTCATCCTTTACGTCGAAGATGGATTCCGTCACGTGTAAAATTAGGTATTTCTAAGTATGTAGTAAATAAATCCAATATAAGCAGTTTTTAATGTGAAAAACTAATGGGTTTTATAAAATCTAGAGGTATCAGTACTAAAAAGGAAACCACTGTATTAATCTTTGACCCCAAGATAATTATCAAACTCTATTCGTAAAAAAATATATATGCATGGTTTTCAAGGAACACAGCAAAAAAATAATTTTGATATCACATCAAAGTGGATGCACTACAATCATGTCGAAAATTTCATGTAATTTTTATGACCACATAAATAAACAAATGCAGTAAAAGCAGCGTAATGTCAGTTCATGTATTGTATGAATGATAATTTTGTCCTTTTAAGCAAGTAATATTACACCATATTTTCGACATGATTGTAGTGCATCCACTTTGACGTGATATCAAAATTATTTTTTTGCTGTGAATGCCATTATCAGATATTTAACAAAATGCGATAAATGCACTTGTGTCATACTTAACAAGAGTAAATTTGAATTGTGTAAGACTTAACTAGTGAAAGTTCTTCACCAGAAAACGTTCAATTTGCCAGTATGAATTAGTTTTTCTGACAACAAAACTGAAGAAAAAAATCAATGCACAATGCAATGCAAGATGAGAACATAATTTTATTTTGTTTTTGATTTTCACGATTGCAAATAAATTTCTAAAAGCCTCAAAGATTGAAGTTTGCAAATCAATCTAAATATAATATGTTATACCTTTAACCCATCAACGTCCACATTTGAGAAGAGAAACAGGGTAGGGAGCTGCATCAGCCTAAGCACATATTTTCGTCCTATAGAACAGAAAACATAAAATATATCTAAGATTAAGCCGTGAACCAAACATTCGTTTAGTACGTTACCTTAAAAAGGGGTCACTTTGATAGTTTTTGGGAGTATATTCTAAATATTTTTCACAACAATTATTTTTTTTAAATATATTTGTTAAACAAGTACTGAGGATCCTGAGTAAATTAGTTAGTAATATGTTTAACGGAAATTATTGGATTTGCACTATTTTTAGGGTCTTTTGACCGAACATTAGTTTTTTTTTTGTGTTGAATGTTGAATGTAGAAAAATATGCGTAAATCTCAAACAATTAATTTCAAGATATATGATACTATGAATGTCTATATAATCAGAAACATCATTAGCAATAATAAGACAACATTGAATTTGTAACGGTTGTATCGAAAAAAAAAAAACATTTAATAAGCGATTGTTTAAGTGCCTTTGTTGTTTGTTCAGATTGTTTGTT